TATTGTATTGTATTGTATTGTATTGCATTGTATTGTATTATATTGTATTGCATTGTATAGTATCGTATTTTATTGTATTCTATTAGATTCTATTCTTCTGTATTGTATTATATTGTATAGAATTGTATTGTATTGCATTGCATTGTATTGTATTGTTTGCTATTAGATTCTATTCTATTTTATTGTATTATATTGTATTATATTGTATTATATTGTATTGAATTGAATTGTATTGAATTGTATTCCATTGTATTGTATTGCATTGTGTTATGTTGTGTTGTATTGTATTATATGGTATTGCATTGTATTGTATTTTATTGTATCGTATTGTATTGTATTGTATTGTATTGTATTGTATTATATTGTATTGTATTGTATTATATTGCATTATATGTTATTGTATTGCATTGTATTGTATTGTGTTCTATTGTACTGGGCTTGTTTCTGCGCCTAGATCTGGATCTGGACTTGGACACGAATATACGGCCAATTGGCCACACGCTGATTCAAGAGTCAAAAGCAAAGGAAAATACGAAAACAAAGGGCAACTCTGGGCAATGGAGAGGTAGAGCACACCCGTCCCAGGCACACCTGGCAAGTCAAATCAAGGCAAAGCCGGCAGAGATGTGGTAGCCGACAAACAGAAGACAACAAAGACAATAGGCTGACATAAGTCCTGAGGGGCGATACGAGTAGAAACAAAGAAAGCTATGAAAATGGAAGCGATAACAACGGCCCAGTTGCGGCCAACCAAAGTGATTTGGGTCGAAACCATCGGAACATACGTTCTCGGAGGTGGGGACAACTATCAGCTGAACAGCCGCACACGAACTGGCAGTGAAAAAGTTCTCAGACAATTGAAGCTAATCCTGATTTGGCGAATCACAAAACGCCTGGCGGTCAGCTGATCGAGAGGAAAAAGCAAATTGCAATAGAAGCACGGAAACGGGCAGTTTCATATCGGAATACGGGCATAGCAACGAATTCCCATTCATACGATGCGAAGAGACAGCATAATCAGGCCTTAAAGCCTCTCTACGAAAGACAAATCAAACTCCCCATTTGCAGCTTTTTACTCTCAATTCTCAACTCTCAAATAGAAAACCGCAACCCACAATTTGCAACTCTCAAACCGCAGCCCCCAAACCCCATCACGCCACGCTCAACCAACAACAAGACACCCTCAGCTCTCAATATTAAGTCTTCTACTCATCACTTCCAACTCTCAGCTCTCAGAACCACATTTCCAAGCCCCATTTCCCAACTCTCAACAATGCACCTTCTACTCCCAACTGGCGACCTTCACTTCTCACCATTTCATCCTTCTCAGCTGGGCCAACGTAAGACATTCAACTGGTCAGTTGACACAGTCTCGCTTGCCAAAACCCCTTTCTAAAGTGGACAGAACAATACACACACACACACACACATCTGGCCCCACCCGTCAGAGACACGCAAGGCTGTAAGTATGACACGCATACACAAACACACAAACCCATAGGAATAACACACTTAGGCTTCTCCTCATTTTTCACCTCTGATCATCTGTCCACACTTTTCTGCTCTGTGCTTTTGCGTGCGGGTGTGAATGCATGTGTGTATGTGTGCGTGTATGTGTGTCAGTGTCTGCAACCCTCTCATACAGTTTCCAATTTGACCCATTTCCTTAACTATGCAAAAAGGTGGGGCTTTTAACGGTAACGTCGCTCGTAGCAAAAGCACTTGGCCTACAATCTCCTCAAGGATTGAGGAAGAGATGCTTGGGGCAACCGAGTCAACTGGCACAGATCGGGCTTGTTTCAATCAGCCTATACCAGACGAGGTACCAGTTTGGGTGGATTTGTAGAGAATAAATCCTCTATCACAACTCGGTGACAGAATATGTATGCCTCAAGGTAGAAAGGAATCTCATCTAAAATGACATGCAGAAGGTTCGGAAAGTGACGATACCGATTGTATAGGAGTCGAATTTTTCCATAATTATGAGAGAAAACACAGCCTTGCCTTCTCAAACGGTATTCTTGTCCCGACTAAAGTGGACTGCAGTTTCGAATTCGCCTACGTCATAGCAACACTATAAGTTGGACTCGAACCATGAAACTGCAACGTGCAATCTCGACACGTTACCCGCTGGGCTAGATTGCCACTAGTGCCCTCGGGTCATAGGGCAGGTGTGAATGTCAAGAAGGTATAGGCATTTTCGCATATCACATTCTTCGGTGAGACTGTCGATGAAGCAAAATTGTATTTTACAGAGCAATCGACTATACTACTTATTGTTCATTTGTAAGTATGTTTCCGAAATATAATGAATACATCTCATACATCGTATAAATTGGTAGTTTGGAAAGCCTACTTATAAAGGAAAGATACGTAAATCAGTCGATTGCGATAGTAAATACAATTTTGCTTCATCGGCAATTCCATCACAGAATATGATGTGGGAAAAAGCCTGATCTTCTTGAAATTCATATCTGTCCTGGTTCGAGTCCTGCTATGAGCGGTGATGAGACCTAATCGAGGTCAAAACTGCCGTCCATTGCTGCCTGAATGAGAATGACTCTTTGAAAAGAAAGGTTATGTGAAATTCAGTGGAAAATCATATGGTTGTGGGAAAATTCAACTGCCAGTCCCGTGATCACCTCAAACTAAATAGCAAGAACACACCTTAGATCTACCGGCAGTCTCAAAAGCCAACTTATAAATCAAAAATCGTAGCAGGGTTCCAAGCACTTATAAACGAAAAAAAGATTTGTTGACTTTTTCCATAATCAGATTAAATGAGACTTACGATTACAATGAATTACATTTTACTTCCGAAAAGCTGCTTATATTCATAATGGACTAGCCTGAAGCCTCGAACTCATACCCTGACCATGGCTCAGGCGTTAAGACGAAAATGAGCACATCATTTCTTTTCTAAAGTTTCTCCTAAACCTTATTTTGGTAGAGTAAGGATGGCATTTCAGAATATCGGCTTATTAGGCCTATTTGAAAAGGGTTTAATGAGGAATACATTTTTGGACAGAAGAAGCGGTGAAAGAATTCTCTGATGAACCGACTTCTTCAGCAAACTTTCTTTCGGAAAAGATGGATGAGTATATGCGAATGGAAATTGTGTTTCGAGGATTCACCTGATTTATGATTGTCAAACTCACTCCTATTTCGAGCGAAGGTGTGCCCGTTGAAGAGACTACACAAAAAGACGACGGCAGATTTCTCTTGACCAGTTAGCGATTGGTTTCGCTGCAGCATTCTTGCTGACACTGTCTCCAAGGCAATCTGTTTCATCGAAATAGAAGAAGATTGCCTCGGAAACAGTGCCAACCAGAATGTTCCAGCAAAGTGATTGGGAAACTGGCCAAGAGGAATGTACCGTCGTCTTTTAGTGGAATACGCTCTTGAATCTCTTCCGCGAGCACACCTTCGCTCGAAATAGAAATGAGTTCAACAAAGATGGATTGACGATGAGAAAAGTGGATGATAGGGATATATACGAATAATAAACGAGAATAAGGATGATCAAAGGTATGAAAACCGGGATGGTGTGGCTTTTTGTATAGTCGTGGTCTTCTTTCATTTTGTAGAAGTTGTTGGATCTTGTTTTCGCAACTTGGTCATGTCGGCATGCATCATCGTTTCCGAAATCAGACCTTGGACGTAATACATTCTCAGACGATGCCGGCGAAACGTCTGGAAATGTACCAATTTATCGGTCCCACTCCGGACAAGGTGCGCCCCTCCAGGTCTTCCTGTTGATATGACCAAGTTGTGAAACTGAGGAAGGGCATAGTTTACAAAGGAGTATACCCACTTTTAGTAAGCCCTTGGACGCATTTTTCACACACAATTGTGGTTGTCGTTCAGTTGCAGCAACCTGTCGCCCCATCTGCTAAGAGCGGAGCTGCATGAGTTTGCTGATTTTGGTACATTTGCGGCTAGACGCAAGATAGAAGAAACAATCATAACTTGCATAGGGAATAAGACGTTTCGTGAAAACTAAGGATGCTGGAATTGCATACCAAAGAAAGAAAGAAAGAGAGAGAGAGAGAGAGCGGATTGACTTAGTGATGCTTCTAATAATATTCACATACGTTCTGCACATCTGCTAGGCTCATCAACTCAACCAACCGTACGTTCGGGATTAGGCAATCGAGGTCATGCCCGACCTTGAGTCATTAAACTTTCATGACCTGAGGCTTGACGTTACGCTCTCTTTTAATTACTCACAGTCATACCTTGTGATTTCCTATCCTCACTTACAAATGTACACAAACACACACATACAATGACATCAAATGAAACTAATCAACTCTTTGCATATTTTATTTTACTGGGACCCCTTTTGGCGTCGTGATCGCGTTCGGCGTGCAATGAGGAGGAATGAGGTCGTCTGCTGTTTGTTGACTTGAAGTTTACGTGAAAATGCGACCCAGCAACGAGAATGCCCATCCAGT